TCTGGCACATCCATGGGTGCTGGAAAAGTCAGAGCCTAGTGGCCTGGGAGGGCAACAGGGGCACCCAGGTCCAGCCCAGCCTCAGGGGCAAGGTTTGAGGGGTTGGGTCCCTGAGCATCAGCCCTGCTTCTGCTGCTAGCTGGGAAGGAGCAGAAGCCTGGCCCCAAGACAGCGGGAAGAAAGCAGGACCCTTGCTAGGCAGCCAGATGGCCCAAGGCCCACCCACACAGGGACAGAACCTGCCCTGGGTCGCTCAGCCAGGAGGGACCAGAATCCAGGTCTCCTGAGCCAGGCAGAAGCCAAAGTAGCTTGGAAGCTGCAGTGACAAACAATAAAATACATGGATAAATAAATCAATAATAAATAGAAAGCAAGCAGCCCAGTCCCTGATCCCTGGGCTGAGAGCCCTTCCACCAGGCCCAGGTCCAGGAGGAGGCAGGCCCTGGTCTTTGCGCTGGGTGGGCTGGCCAGGGCAGAAGGCTCCAGAGGGAGGGAGGCAGGGTCCCGGGGTCCTCGGCGTGTGAAGGTCTGGCTCAGTTGTTATTCATTATCCACCAGGAGGCTGGGGGTCAGAGGTCAGGGGGTCAGGAGCCCTCAGGAGCCCACTGCCCCTCCCAGGCGACAGTGAGTGGGGGTCTGCCGCACACCTGGGAAGAACACAGTGGTGAGGGTGTCCGGAGCCCGCAGGTGGTCGATGAGGACGCGCTGGAAGGCCTTGCTGCAGGGCGACTGCTGGTGCCTGCGGAGAGACGCAGGCTGCCATGACCTCGGTCTCCCTACTCCTGCCCCACCCTGCTGCCAGGATCAGACCCCGGCCCTTCTCACGCTGCCTCTGAAGCCTCAGTCCTCTCCTCTTTGACACGGGGACGCTGTGCAGGTAGAACAAAGGGCACCGCACACAGTGCTCGGCATAGGCATTGTCACATGCATGGTGACAAGTGTGTGTTCACTGAGTGCCTCCCGTGTCCCTGTGCTGTATTCAGCTCTTCCCAGTCACCTCCTTTAGCCCACAGGAGTTGGAACTGTTATCACTTCCATTTTGGAAAGGACTCCGGGGTCGGGCAGGTGGGGTCACTCATCTGAGGTCACAGAGCCAGTGAGCCGGAGAACAGGATTAGAACCCTGGCCTGACTCACTCCAGGGTCACAGTCTATGGTGTTAGCGGCCAGACTGGCACTCATACCTTCTCCAGGAGGCCTCATCCTGCCAGAACTCATACAGGGTGAAGGAGGCACCGTCCGGCATCTTCTGGGCAGACACACTGTGGGGCCAAAGAGATGGGCAGGCCAGGCCAGGGCTGCCACCACCTCTGCCTCCCTGGCCTGGGGTCTCATGGGAGCCCTGGCCCAGGACGGCCAGCCCCAGAACCCCTCTATGCCCCAGCACCCCTCCTCCCCTCAGCCATCCCACCTGCCAGCTGGGGACTCACTGCAGACAATGGCTCTGGGCCCCTGTGAAGTCCACATAGCAGCGCAGGGCTCGGTGGAAGTCCTGCAGACCTTCCTCTGCCACCTGGACCTGCCTCTGGGCCACGAGGATGTGCTGGTGGGAGAGGCAGTCGGTCAGCCGGTGTGGGGCTGGGCGCAGGGGAGGGACTGGCCGTGGCCTCTAGGAGGTTCTCAGCTATTTTTTTGTTTGTTTGTTTTTAAGACAGGATCTTATTCTCACCCAGGCTGGAGTGCAGTGGTGTGTGGGATCATGGCTCACTGCAACCAGGCTCAAGTAATCCTCCCACCTTGGCCTCCCAAGGTGCTGGAATTACAGGCATGAGCCACCTACACCTGGACCCCAGCCTTCTTGACTGATGCCAGATCCAACCTACCCTTTAGCTGGGTTCCTGCTGCCAACCTGCCCCCCAACCTCCCTGTCTCCATCGTCTCCCTGTCTCCAAGGGTGCTGCTTGATCCAGCCACTGTCCCTCCTGCAGTATGCCACCACTTCCTTCCTCCCTCCAGCTTCTGTCCACACTGCCCCAGACCTGGCTTTCAGAAATGCTGACGGGGAACCAAAGCCCAGAGAAGGGTGGCGGTTCCTGCAGGTTCTCAGAACCCGGCACCTGCCTGCCAGGCCTGGGGGCAGGGCACATGCGCATGGCAGAGAATGGGCGCAGCTGGCCCCATGAACCCCCAATTCATGAGCACCCCCAGACATGGCCATCCAGCCGCTTGCCCCTCTCCTGGGCTCACCGAATCAGGTCCCTTGGCCAGGTCCTCTTCATGCAGGGGTTCCAGCCGGGGGGCCTGTGAGGGCACAGAGTATGGGCCGCGCCTCCAGCATGGGCCTGGCTCGAGTGGATACCAGGAGGGTCCTCCCTCGTGGGGCCCTGGCCCCATGGCCCTCACCTTGCACTCGAGCTGGTCGATGAGCTCCTGGAGGCGGTTCACCTGGAGCTGCCACTGATTCTCAGCCTCTGAGCTGTGCCCTGTGGGTGGGGCCCGTGCAGGGTCAGGCAGGGGCCTCTCAGGCCTGGCAGGTTCTCAGAATGAAGTAAGGGGCAGTGAAAGAGTGGGCCTGGGGGAAGAGGGGATGCGGTGCCCGCCTTGGCCAGGCCTCCCACCCCGCCCCAGGCGCACCTGTGTCAGAAGAGCCGGGGGACCAGGTGGATGACCGGCTGACGCTCCTCAGGGCCCGGCGTCCTGTCCGCCGGCTGCCGCAGGGCCTACTCTGCGCCTCCATGCTCTCTGCATCTGACCTAGAGAAAGTGAGGCTCACAGGGCCGAGGACTGGGGCCCCAGGACGGGACAGGCCTGGGTGAGGAAGACAGGCCTCCTGAGACTCCGAGGCCTAGCCCCAAAGCCAGTCTCATCTCACCCCACCATGGCTTCCCTGCCATGGCTTCCGTGCCCAAAAATACAGGCTCTAGGATGCTGAGACTGTGGGGATTTGGAATGGGGGTACAGTGGGCGCTTGAGCACTAGCCCAGCAGGTCGGCAGCGCCCTTACATACCGCCAGCCACGGGCCTGGGCCTCCAGGGTATCTGACGCCCCCTCCAGCGAGCTCTGCAGGGCTTGCAGCTGGCTCACCGTCTCCCGCAGCAGGAAGCGCGTCACAAACTGGTCCACCTTGGAGGCCCTCTCGTACGCCTGCAGGCCAAGGGGGGACGGTCAGCATCTCCCAGCCTAGGCATTGATCTCTGAGTGGGTCCTCTGCCTCTTGCCCATCAGAGCAGCAGTGGCGGCGCCAAGAGCAGGGGCACGTAAACCCGGCACAGGCAGGAGGGTACTGAGACCCGATGGGCAGGGAGGGTCTGGATCCCTCCTTGTCCGGGCCTGGCCTCCCTCCCCGGAGGTGTGGAGCCAACACACAGCAGGCATCTGCCTGCCGACGTGCCTGGCTTTTCTGGACTTCACGGCCCTTTCCCTGATGGGGCTACCACCTTCAGCATTGTCATAGCCAGTGAGTCCCAGGCACAGCTAGGCTGGGTGGGGCTGTCACAAGGTATCCAAGGGCTAATGTTGACACGAAGCAAAATGATGGCCTGGTGTGGCCCCAGACTCACAATCTACGTGTTCACTCCCTCATTCATTCACTCATGCACACAACACTGGATGCTTTTTACTAAGAGCTGCTGATAAAGACAATCAGGTCACCGTCCTCACTCACACAGACACACAAACACACACCCGCTGGCACTGACCCCAATCGCCACTGCCAGCCTCCTCTCAGCCCCTCTCAGGGTGGCAGAGAGGCAGGGAGGCTGCCCACATGTTAGGCCCGGCGTGGCCCAGCATGGGATTCTGAGGCTTCTCAACTACCTTCACTTCCTGGAGCTTCTATTTCCTCATCTATCAAACAGGAAAGATGAAACTCAGCATATGGAGCTGCGAGAAGCTCCCAGGAGTTAATTCCTGCACAGGACTCAGCCCAGGGTCTGACACGTAAGCTCTCAATGCTAGACCTGCCAGCCGTCTATCGTCAAGGGTAACACAATAAAGGGCCTGCCCACTTACACACCCAGGAGTCACAGACGTCCTGAGAATTGCCTAACCCCCACCACACATACACACATGCAAACACACACACGTGCGCACCAGGGTGGGAGTCCTGGGGAGCTGTGGTCCAGGTGCCTGCCCTCTCCGAGGGGACTCCAGAGGTCCCATCCATCAGAGATTTCATCTCCTGCCACAACCTGCCTCAGTTCAGCCATCAGATGGGGCCTCCTGGGCCAGGCTTATGAGTTAGGAGGCAAGGACAGAGAAGAAGGTGGGTCTTTTCATTCTCAGACAGGCCAGGGTTTCTATCTCCATGAAATCTTTCCAAAAAATTCCTTTTTGGGTATTTGAAATGATTAGTTTCTGTTGCTTGCAACCAGAGAACACACAGAAGCACCCACTCAGAGCCAGGCACTGCTACAAGAATTTCATTTAGTCTTTTGTTTTTCCGAGACAGTCTCACTCTATCACCCAAGCTGGAGTGATATGGCATGATCTTGGCTCACTGCAATCTCTGCCTCCCAGGTTCAAGCAATTCTCCTGCCTCAGCCTCTTGAGTAACTGGGATTACAGGCCTGTGCTGCCACACCTGGCTAATGTTTGTATTTTTAGTAGAGACAGGGTTTCACTATGTTGTCCAGGCTGGACTCGAACTCCTGACCTCAGGTGATCCACCCACCTTGGCCTCCCAAGGTACTGAGACAACAGGCATTAGCCACCGTGCCGGGCCTCATTTAACCTTTGTAACAATTTATAGGAACCATAATTGACCCCATTTTGCAGATGAGAAAACAGGCCCAGAGAGATTTATTACCTGGGCTAAGGTCACATAGTAAGTTAGTGGCAGGGCCAAAATTCATACCCAAACCACAGAAATCCCCCTCTATTGGCCACTAAGCACCTTACATGCATTGCCTCATTTATGATCATTAGCCCAGTTTTACAGCTGAGAAACCAAAAGTGACAAAGTGAGTGGAGCCCAGATTCACCTTTAGGCCCTGGGAGGTGGTGCTCAGAGCCTGCAATTGGTGAGGTCAGCCCATGAGGTCACAATGTTGCCAGGGCCCAGGGGGCAGAGCAGACGGAGTGTGGGCCATGGTCCCCAGTGGTGACCAGCCCTGCCATGGGAAACAATAGTTCCCACAAAAGGACCAAAGCACCCAAGCAGGCCCACAAGGAGAGGCCAGCTGACATGGACAAGGCCTGGTGGAAACAGTTTCTCAACCACCTCACTCGGAAGAAGCCGACTGTGAGTGTGGGGGATGGGGAACAGGGCTGGGGAGGCAGATGGGGGTCAGGGAAAGCTGGATAGGTGGGTAGGAGTCTAGGCCTTGTGTGCAGAAGTCCTAGGGGGTGAGGGAGGAATTCGAAAATCTCTCCCAAGGATGAGGATCCCAGGGGCCCATATGGGTATGGATGGGGGTCTTTTCAAGGTGGCTCACGCCTGTAATCCCAACACTTTGGGAGGCCAAGGTGGGTGGATCACTTGAGCCCAGGAGTTCAAAATCATCCTGGGCAACATAGGAAGGTCCCATCTCTACAAAAATAAAAAATTAGCTGGTTGTGGTGGCGAATGCCCATAGTCCCAGCTACTCAGAAGACTGAGGTGGACTGCGTGAGCTCAGGTCAGGGATGCAGTGAGCCGTTGACAGCACCACTGTACTCCAACCTGTAGGACAAGACCCTATTTGACTCAGTCTTTAAAAAAAAAAGAAAAGAAAAAAAAAAAAAAGCCCAGAAGGGAGGGCAGAGATTCCAGAACCAGAAAGTGTATGAGACTGGAGAGCCCAGGGAGGTGAGCACGAGTGGGATTCTCTCCCAACCCTGGACAAACGGGTGGAGGTCCCAGCACGGAGAATCAGTCCTAGTTGGTACTACTGAAGCTAGGAGCAGGTGGGATTCCCTTGTGTCCTCTCCCCAGCTCCTAGGCTCACAACTTCCCTGCCTCCCTCTCAAATGAGCAGAGGCCCTGGACCAGGCAGGGGTTGGGGGTGTTGAGAGCCCCCAGCATCCCAGGGCCTGGAAGGGATCTCATAAACTTAGACGGAGCTGGTCTCAGGAAGTCGGTCTGGGATGGATGAGGGTTTCCAGAAGGGAGGCGGAGTCCAGGGCGCCACGCAGGGAAGGGAGAGCTTCCCCGCGGACAGGGGTCCCCTCCAGCCCTGTGCATCGGAGGATGACAGGACCCGGTGGATGAGGGTCCCAGGAGCAGGGCGGGGCGGCCCCGGGTCGTGGGCTCGGCCCTGGCGCGCTCTCCCCCTCACGCTCCTGTTCCACCCCCAGGCCAGGATCGTGCTGATCCTCCACCTGGACAAGCGACAGCCGCTGGCCAAGGCTGGGCGACCGATTGACTACGCGTCGGGTGCCGGGCTGGGCTCCCCGGCGGCACCCAGGTTGCGCGGAGCGGGAGAAAGCTGCGAGCGCGAGCTGAAGATGCCGGTGCTCCTGCTGCTGCTGCGGTCCCCGGGAAAACCTCCCAGCGAAGCCGGGCCTGCAGAGGAGCAGCCACGCAAACGGTGCCGCTGCCCTCGCCCGCAGCTCTAAGCGCTTGGCCCAGACCCCGCCCAATAAAGAGTGCGTGGCAACCCTGGAGCCTGTGAGCCCTGTCGGAGGCGTCTGGGAGGTGGAGTCGGGCTGGGCAAAGCTGAGCCCAGGAGCCGCACAGGGGTGAACGGGGCGTATTGAAGGCAGAGCCACCGCCACGTCTGGAGCCAGGGCTGTCTTTTGCTTTCTCCTTACATGTGCCAAGGGTCAGAACAGAACCCCACACCTTGCTACAGTGGCGGGAGGCAGTTTCCCTTCCCCAACACTCCAAACCCTGGTCACATCCCGCTCAGTCTGCAGGCTCAAGGGAGGTGGGCTTGGGCAAACCCAGGCGTGGCCACGCTAGTGAGGGGGACCTGCTTCCGGCAAAGCCTGACATCCCCCCACAGTAATCCCTCTTAGGCATGAGGGAGGGTCCCAGGCCAACAGGCACCATCCTGGGTAAGAACAGCCAGGGCGGCAGTCAGCTGGGGCAAGGCCTGAAACGTGGATTCTGCCTGTGGACGCACCCAGGAGAAGCTGGAAGCCCTCTGGCACTTCACTCCTACACATCGTACTTGGTAACCCCAAAGCACTCAGGCCCTCCAGTCTTCCCCAAGGTACCTCTGTCTCCCAACCTACCCTGTATCTCCTTCCCCACATGACAAAGACTTCTTCCAAACCACTCACCTGTCTAGAGCAGCTCACTCCCCTGCTCATAAGCTTTCAATAGGTCTCCATTACCAACAGGGAAAAAGCCCACAGCCTCAGTCTCACTCCCCAAATCACTTAGAAGCAGCCCTGCCTGCCACACTTTCTGTGTGGGATCCTGCTGCTGCTTCTCACTCTCCCAGGTCCCAAATCCAGCTCCACACGCAATGCCACTCCTGGCCTGCTGAACCTGCAGCCTACCTTCCTGTCACACCCTGGTAACCAACCTCAGGATGCCCTCTTTTGGGGGCAGATGCAGCAGGACTGAAGTCCCAGCTCACTAGAGCCACCAGCCCAGCTTCTGCTGAAGATATACTTTTGTCACCGTCACCATGATGAACATCTCCTCCACCTTGCCTGCACCAGGCTGGAGGCTGCATAACATCACCCCTGCTAATTGTGAGAACTGACTCTTCCCTACCATCCACATGGTTACAATCAGGGTAACCACCTTCTTCCATGGGGCCGCACCTCCTGCCCATACAGTGATTGGCCCAAGCTGGTCCTGTCAGCCCCTCCCCCTAGGACTGTAGTTCAGGAACTGTATGAGACCATGCTCTCTACTTGAACATGCACAGGCTAAGTCAATCTTCAGAATAAAAACACAATGCAGGCCAGGCACAGTGGCTCACGCCTGTAAACCCAGCACTTTGGGAGGCTGAGACGGGCGGATCACGAGGTCAGGAGATCAAGATCATCCTGGCTAACACGGTGAAATCCCTTCTCTACTAAAAATACAAAAAATTAGCCGGGCATGGTGGCGGGTGCCTATAATCCCAGCTACTCGGGAGACTGAGGCAGGAAAATCGCTTGAACCTGGGAGGCAGAGGTTGCAGTGAGCTTAGATCATGCCACTGCACTCCAACCTGGGTGACAGCGAGACTCCGTCTCAAAAAAAAAAAACCACCACCACCACCACAATGCAGTGCACATCCTGGGTTCCCTACAGCCCTGCAGTCAGATTCTGTTCCTGAAACCTGATTTCACCCTTGCTCTTGGTATCCATAACATATAAGATCCTTGTAATAAAGTCCTTATTTTGGCTTACATTCACCCGAGTCTTCTACCTGCAACCAAATTGGTCCTGAAGAGGATGAGGCTTTGCCGAGACAAGAAGTGGCCTCTTTCCTGTGTGGTGGGATTATTACTACCTTTTGGAGAAAACCAAACCCAGAGAAAGATCAAGACTAGGTTAGGACTGCACAGTGAGTCAGCTTCAGAACTGAGTCTTGCTGGGTGCGGTGGCTCACATCTGTAATCCCAACACTGTAGGAGTCCAAGGCAGGTGGATCACCTGAGGTCAGGAGTTCCAAGACCAGCCTGGCCAACGTGGCGAAACACTGTCTCTACTAAAAATACAAAAATTAGCCAGGTATGATGGTGCACGCCTGTAGTCCCAGCTACTCAGGAGGCTGAAGCAGGAGAACAGCTTGAACTCGGAAGGCAGAGGTTGCACTGAGCTGAGACTGCAACACTGCACTCCCAGCCTAGGAGACGGAGACGCTGTCTCAAAAAAATAAAAACTGAGTCTCAAATTCAGGCCCACGTGAATCCATCCATGGAAGCCCCTAAAGGTAGGGCCAGAGCCTGTCGCGGCTCTTCAGGGAAGCTGTAGATCTGTGACTAAAAGCTTTTTCTTCAGCACTGGGAAGGTAAGGGCCACACATCTGGCCAGAGTACATCAGATAACTCTAAGTGGTTTGAGAAAGGAATCAGATTGATTGTGCTGGGCTGCTGAAGCCAGACCCCTGGATGCCAAAATCACTGCCCTTGGCTCTGTCCAGGAGAGAGGATGGGTCCAGGGAGTTGTCATAGGGTAGGGGGCTGTGGAAGGGCAGCTGCTGGGGAGTGAGGTCACAATGAGACCAATCTAAGTTCTTTTCTGCCTTCTGACCAGCTAGCTCCTCCCCCCTCCACAACCGGGAACTTCCGTCAAGCCCAGGTGAGAGGTGCCAGGAGGCTGCCTGGGTCCCCAAGGGGGATATATGTCCAAACAGCCTTATCACAAGGCCCCTTCACCTTCAAAGTTCTGCTCCTCCTGGGGGCTTCTTAGGATCTAAAAGGATCAGTCCTAGCCATCTCGTCAGCCATCTCAGCAAGCGCTGACGGGGAGGAACAGCAAAGGAGAGGCGAGTCCGGAGAGTGTGGGGGTCCCGTGCAAGGCGTGGAGCCTGGAGCCCGGCGCCGGAGGAAGACGAAGAGGGTGAGATGCGGCTGGAACCCAGCCAGAGCAGAGACTGAAGCCTGAACTAGGGGCCGGGCCTCAGGCCTAGGGACTAGGCACGAGCTGAAGAGGCGGCGGACGGCCCGGAACAAGAGGCGGGCCTTTCAGACCAGAGGGCGGAGCCAAGAGCTGAGAGGGGTGGTGATCTGGTCCAGAAGAGGAGGAATTTAGGCCCCGGAGGCAGAGCCAAGGGCTCAAAGGGACCACTCCCTAGCACAGAGGCCGGGAGGTCTCGAGCCGACTAAGCCGAATGGCACGAAGGAGCGGAGCCTTCAGCCCCGGGGCTGGACGGAGCCCGAAGGTAGCGTCGGTGTCGGGGAGCCGCCGTGTGCACCGACCGCCCTCCCTGGGCCGCATCGCGGTGGTGGTGGACCAGGGCTCGGGTTTCACCAAGGCGGGCTTCGCGGGCGAGAACCAGCCGCGAATAGTGCTGAAGAGCTCCAGCCTGGTGCCCAGCTGGGACCGGCCGGTGCTGCCCGGCGCGCCGGGCTGTGAGCTGGCAGGCGGCGTCGCGCGGGCACACCCCATCAAGCACGGCGTGGTGGCGGACTGGGAGGCGCTGGAAGGGCTCTGGGAGCGCCTGCTGGTGGGCGGCCTGCGGGTGTGCCCAGAGCAGTGGCCTGTGCTGGTGAGCGACTCGCCGTCGGCGCCACCCGCAGGCCGCGAGAGGGTGGCGGAGCTGCTGTTCGAGACCCTGGCAGTGCCCGCGTGCCACATGGCTAGCACCGCGTTGTTGGCGCTCTGCTCCACTGGCGCGTTCAGCGGGCTGGCCATAGAGGCGGGCGCAGGCGTGTGCCACGCCACGCCCATCTACGCGGGTCACTCGTGGCACCAGGCCACCTTCCGGCTGAACGTGGCAGGCAGCACCCTGTCGCGCTACCTGCGGGATCTGCTGGTGGCGGCGAACCCTGACCTCTCGCAGCACGCCCTGCCCCGCAAGGCCATCACACATCTCAAGAAGCGCAGCTGCTACGTGTCCCTGGACTTCGAGGGCGACCTCCGCGACCCCGCCCGCCACCGTCCGGCCAGTTTCAGCATGGGTAACGGGTGCTGCGTCCGCCTTAGCAGCGAGCGATTCCGCTGCCCCGAACCCATCTTCCAGCCAGGCCTGCTGGGCCAGGCTGGGCCGGGGCTGCCCGCGCTGGCCTTCCGGGCGCTGCAGAAGATGCCTGAAACGCTGCGGACACGACTGGCAGATACCGTGGTGCTGGCCGGCGGCTCTACGCTGTTTCCTGGCTTCGCGGAGCGCCTGGACAAGGAGCTGGAGGCGCAGTGCCGGCGGCACGGCTACGCGGCCCTACGGCCCCACCTGGTGGCCGAGCATGGGCGTGGCATGGCTGTGTGGACCGGCGGCTCCATGGTGGCCTCCCTTCACTCCTTCCAGCGCCGCTGGATAACCCGGGCCATGTACCAGGAGTGTGGCTCCAGGCTGCTGTACGATGTGTTCAACTGAGTTAGGCTGGACTGGGGGGTGGCACTGCCGTGGGGGACAGCTATCTAAAGAGTCAGGTGTTTGGAGCTGGCAGGGTCCTCCTGGAGGTTGGAGCTTACTGGATGGGTCACCCCCAAACCCTTTCTGGGCCAGAAGGAGGTATTTAGGACCCGTGGGACCCTCATTTTCAACTGCAATTTGAATCTCCCCAACCTCTGTCAGTTCAGAGAATGCCAGTCCAGCCGCCTACCCCCAGGGCCCTACTTCATGGCAATAAAGGTGATGCCCCCACTTGTGTCCATGCCACAGATATGGGAGTTCCTCCAATCCCTCGTCATGCCAGGCCCCAAGGGGCAATCCTTTGAAAAGCTACTAAATCTCATGTGAAAGTCACCAGCAGGAGGAGCCCTGTCCCTAGCTGCGTGCTCAGGTCATTGTTGATGATGAGTGCCTGCTTCCCCTTCTGTAAAAAGTGGGGTCAGACGCACTCCTGGGCCTGCTCACTCCCCCTTACAAGAGCCATGGAGCAAAGGGAGGTGGTGATATTTCTTGAACACACAAAGTGAAGGGCAGCTTAGTTTCTGGAAGTCACCACTCAAGGGCCTCAAGCCCTGGCTATCAGCCCTGTTTGTGCTTGTGCATACACATGTCCACATGTGCACACAAACGCATGGGTGCTCACGTACCTGCCTACTCACGT